CAACCAGGTAGCAAGAGGCAGAGAGCAGCACAGGAAAATGTGCAACAGCAATTGCAAAGCCACAAGCACCACAACAGCATTCAGTGATGTATGTAATGTAGTGAAGAAAGAGACAAAAGAGAGTGGGCTTCCAAACATTCTTAGTACATATTGTTGAAATGTGGTGATTGTTTTAATCTTTTGGACAATACGGAATTATTATCTGGGTCCAGACATATTTCTAAAGCTAAAAAAAACCCCTCGTTTTGAATCACGTGGACCCACAGAGCAACTATCTCTGCTGACTCAGGAAAAGATTATAAAAAGCAAATGCCCTCAACTGCAGAGAGGGACAGAGCTTGTAGATCTCATCAAATTTCCAATGAAACATTTGATTTTGCTACGATATCTTCACGTCCCCTACCCTCCCATGCCAGCAGCTCCAAAAAACAAGACTGTCAGCTACCACCATTCCAGCTGTGTGATGGGGCTGTCACGTCTGAAGAGAAGTGGGAGAAATGAAAAAGCTGTGTGAGGATTCAGGCGGCTTATCCAGGCCATAGGATGTGGCAGGAATTGCCCTTTGGATTTTATGATTGCCTTGGAGATAAAAAAACCTGTATTAAATTGGAAGGAGAAAGTGGAACCTCTTGGTGTGGAGCACTGAATGTGTTGGGATAAAGGCTCTCAGGCAGCAGGTGTTACCACTGAAAATGAGAGTCAAAGGGGTTGATACAGAGCTAGGCACGACCCAAGTTTCTCTGGCACTCCTGAAGCAGTTACCTTTAAAACAGAGTTTTCTCTCACACTTTGCAAAGTCTTCACCCTCACTAGTAGTTTGCTTACCCCTGAAGTCTTCCAAGCCTTGACATCTGAACAGTGAATCCGTGATGCTGCGGATAAAACTCAGGCTATGAAAACAGAGATCAGCCTGATGCAATGGAAAGACAAGCCGAGAAAACAGCAGAGCCCAGCCAGGCCTTTGTTTACCATTATCAGCTCAGAACAAAAGATTTCGAAGATTTTCATATTCAAAGCTAGGTAGTGCCACCGAAATGCAGGGAGTGATCACAGTACCCTGAGACCACCTCCTGAATGAGAGCTCACCGTGAAGTTAGAACTGGGAAAGGAAAACAACGATTCTAATCAGAGGACAGTCTATTAGAAATATGAATGTGCATACAGCGGTGAAGGGCCCGTGCACCTCCAAAAAACCCAAGTCCCTACACGTCTCCAGTCCCAGGGAAGCAGTGGGAGGTTTCTGCCGGGAAATGGGCAGCAGGCAGTGCGTGATTCCGAGCGCGGGCTTGCGAAACCACGCGTGCTGGGCTGGTCCCCCGAACGGGGCTCACGCAGACTGCAAGACGCGCCGCAGCCCAGGCAAGCCCTGGGTTACAGCACCGCTTACATCCACGCCCTCCGAAATCCAGGGAGTCCTTACATTCCAAACTCGGCGAGGCCCTTACAAACTCAGCTGCCTGCGCTGCCCGAGTCCTGCCACGGCGGGGAGCTGGGACAGCGGGGACGGCAGAGGAAAGAGGCGAGGAGAAGGTCAAAGCACCTCCGCTCGGTGTGAGAGAGGGAAAAACGGAGGAGGAAAGTGCTGGCGTACCGCTGTAGAGATGAAGGGTGGGGGGATGAGTTGCAGCTGCCTGCACGGAGGAGAAGGAGGAAGAGATTGGAAAGCAAACAGCAGTGAGGGAGACATTGCGTGGGGTTTGCTTGCTGGGGCTTGTAAGCAAACCGAGAGAAAGCAGGAGGAGAGCAGGAAAGTTTCAGTGTGTAGGGGTAGGTGGATGGCTGGTTCCAAACTGTGCCCTCTGGTACGTGGAAATGTCTGGTCCTGCAAAAGTTGCTGGTGAGCTGGCTAAAAACGTGTCTTGCCCAGCAAAAACGTGTGTTTCAAGAAGCTGCTGGTGGGGAGAGGTGTCTGCTGGTGGCCAAAACTGAGATCAGAAAGGACCTGAGGAGAATTGCCAGGGCAAAGATGAGTCCCCAGGAGTTCTGCCCTTTCCCACTCCACCTTTGCTCCAGAAACTGCCCCTCACCCCTTCAGGGCTGGTGTTTTTCTGCTGGCTTCCTGTGTGGTGCCAGATGGTACAAAGGTTATTCAGTCCTCCCCTGGGAGCTGGGAAGCCTGGCTCCATCACAAATCCCATACTCTAGGTGTGCCTTCCTTGACTCCTGGCATACCACCCCCAGGGAGCAGGGAAGTTGAGAGGGGTTTGGGAGGGAGAAGGCGCATCCACCTGAAGGAATCTCCTGCCCCATAGTTGCTGTAACAGCCTCACCTCTGCAGCCTCTTTTTTCTCCTCCCTGCAGCTGACAAACCTAGTGGTGCACCAAATTCCACTTTGGCTCTTCCTTCTGGATATGAGGCTTCACAGTTCTGGTTTAGAGCATTTCCCATCTCTGTCCTTCCTCTCCACCATCCATCTCACTTTAGTCCAGGTTGCCCGCTCACTGATTGCCAGCCTGCACTGCCACCTCTCCCTGGAATATGTGTTTTCCATACCTGGCTGCATGATGCCTTCAGGTAACATGGCTTAGCACTCCCCATCATAACCTCAGGTTTTCAGTTGCTCCTAACATCAACCACGTGGGCTCATACTGATGAATTTGTGGCTCTAGGGGGATTTCCCTTTTTCTTTTTCTTGGCATTTTTGCTACCTAGGGGTTGAGGCCCAGCTCCAGCATTGCCTTTATTCAGGTAGTTCTTGGCTCTTTGCAGCCTGGAATTGCAGCCTCATCCCTGTTACAAATCCCATGAAACCCGTGGAAAATCAAAAGCATGTTCTCTATAGCCACTTGAATAGTGCCACAAGTAGAGTTCTAGCCAAGAATCAATTTGCTGTCTCAGGGTGGATGCTCCTCAGTCTTCACAGCTTTTCTGGTAATATGGAGTATTCATGCCTACCTCCCTTTCCAAAATGTTGGAGGTGTATGGCTGAATAAAGACTTGTAAACAGAAAACACCACCGGCAGGCAAGCAGAATTTATTTCTCCAACACCCTCCTCTGGCTGCTGGATAGCTCTGGAAGACAAAGACCAGGCGAGGAAGGTCCTTACCTCTTGTCACAGTCCAGCAGTGGGTGGGGGCAATGGAAATGCAGCCATACTTCATATTTCCCTCCAAGCAATGGTCAGGTACTAGCAAAAAGCCTACTCCTATAGCCAGCTAATAAATTAACTCCACTGCCACAAGGCAGCACATTAAAGCCTTGTGAAAAACAAGTTTCTCTTGTGTTGTCCAACAGAGCAATGCCTGGACATGCTTTCAGTCAGTAACTATGAGTTAGTGGGCAAAGGCATGAAGCAAAAATGGTGGATGATGCCTGAGAGACCTGAGCCCTGCAGAGGACCACAAACATGGTGGAAAGCTTAGGCTAGTTTGCAGAGAACATTTTAAAAGGGTAGCTTTGTCACACAGAAATTTACATTGGGAAGAATAATTGTGTTTAGTGCCCACCCAACTTTATGGCAGATTGGGGTGCTGTCTGTCCACACCATTCCAACCAAATGACTGCTGTTCCTTTGATGCCAGCATAAAAAAAAAAGAGTCCTTTTCTGTATGCCTCAAAACTTTGTGTGCTTGTGCCTGGTGGGCATCTAATGGGTCAGCTGAGCAGCCTGGCAGTGCCAGCAGCTGGTGACGACAATACACTTCCTTCAAGGCAGTTTTTGGTACCTCCCTTGTTTGTGACTTGCTTTCTGCATCTGGGACGAGGAAAGGTGCAGAGGAAGCCAGCTGCTCCTCCAGCCCTGCTGGGTGAACACTGGCAGAACCAAGGAACTGACGAGAGCCCCTGCAGATTTCCCGTGTGCAGCACAGCAGTGGAAAAACCAAACTCACCGAGTTGCTGCTGGTGGCCTGCCCAAGAGCTATGGATGAGGCGGGCTGCAAGGCCACGGAAGCAAGAGTAAATTGACTGGACAGTACAAGAACATTACTTTCAGCAACAATGTGACTTTGAACCACACTTATATGACAACTTTTTCATCACAGGAAGCTGAATGTATTTTGGTAAGGTTACAGCTGACAGTTATCAATCCTCTGTGAGGATAAGGTAAATCTGAATCACATAACTTATGACTGTGTATCAAAATCTGGCCCACTGCATGAACTGAATGCAGTGTTGCTGAAAAAATCCCAGGCTTCCCATACAAAAGCCAGCAAGCAATTTAATAACCAGCAAGAATTAATCAAAGCAGGAAGAGTTTTGGGCCAGGGGGTAAACTAAAAGAATTCTGGACCCTTCTTCCTTAAACTTGAGAAGTTCAGGGGTGAATGCTCCTTGGAAAGGAATAGCAAAGCGACTTTCATGTGAAAAAGAAACGAAACAGAGAAGATCCTGATATCCTTTGGCAGAGGAATGGCAGAGGGACAGGAAAAGAGAAACACATATATCCCTTTTGATTATCAGTGATTTCTGGCTGTTTCTGAAAGAAGCCCTGTCCACAGTGTCATTGTGGAGGACTGACACCTACAGAGGCACCTGCTAAATAACCAAAGGCCCCATCACTCTCATTGCTAAACACAAGACCTGGGGGTAACATACTCTGTTAAGCTGCGCCAATGGATAGTGCTATGCAGGCATTTCTGTGCTGTTGTCTGTCATGTTTTCTGTATAGGTGATGAGATATAAGTTTAGAAATCAGCCCTGTTTACTCACCTATATCTTGCTAGGGTTTTTTCCCCCAAAAAAATCCACTTTACAGCTGTAAAGCGGTAAGTGTAGTATGAAAAATGAATAAGCTAAGTTAGGTCTGTGGGGACTCTGCCTCTATTATTAGACCAACTGATACAGCTGGAGCAAACAGGAAATCTTTGAGGCATGTGATTTATCTTTGGGTCTGATCTGCAGCCTGTTTTGGTTTTTTTTTTTTTTGTTTCCCCAGCTATAATTAGCAGTATAGTAAAATATATTTCTCCTCCTTACAAGACTTGCCTCTCCTATACTCCTAGACTGCAGTGCTTCTAACCACCCACAAACAGATCAGTCAGAGTTTAGGACCCAGAGCCCTGTTTTAGGCTTACGGGATGTGACAGCTGACTGAAAATCAATGAAGTGTGATCTACCGAGCCTCATAATGAGGGCAAGATAAGGCTGGAAAGGTGCTGCCCTGCCTTGCAGACTCAGCTGTCCGCCCTGGTTTTCAACTAGATTGTTTTAGTCTCCTACGAAGATGAGACTGATTTGCTTATGAAGAGAGAAGATCAGATTAGAAGGAGAAGCCACAGCGGTGCCCATGCTGTGCCTGGTGCTCTTTGCTCTGTGTCTGAGCCACTCAGGTAGGTGTGATTTCTTCTTCTTACAAGCTGAGCTGCAGGTGGTCAAGATCTTTTTTTTCTGCTGGCCTCCTAGTTCTGCTGCTTTCTGGGATAAGGTGAATACTGGCTCCTCTCATTTAAACACTGTTTGACTATCGAAGAGGGTTATATCAGCTGCTGCCTTTGTATTGCAAACACAGACAGTTTGACAACAAGGTTTTAATAACTGGTGACAGGGCGACTGTGGGCTAGAAAGTAACAGAAAAAATCCTGAGCTTGATTGATGCTAAATCAAACTGCTAAAGGAAATCACAGGAGAATCCCCATCACCAAGAGGGGAAACTGAAATGCCTCCGGTGAGCTGATGAAAGGCAAATTGTCCTGTCTGTGTTTCTTGGGGTGTTTTGCACATTTGTTTAGAAGGCTTCCTGCCTCAACACTCCTGTTCCTGCATCCGTGAGGAACTACTACGTGCAGGGACCACAGAGAGAAACAAAAACCTGGGGAAGGGGGGGATGGCAAACAGTGCTCTGGTATTTGCATACATAGTAACCTGCTGGGGAGCGCCCCAGCTTTTGCCTTCTCTCTGCACCATTCAGGGATGTATCCATCCTATGGCTGTTTCTCTGATTTTTTTCAAAGGCAGTGCTACTTTGTTCAGTTTTCTCCACGACATTAGCTAGCTTAATCATCAGATGGGGCTTGATCAAAGAACTGTTAGGCTATTTTTGCACCTGACATGTCTTACTTCCCGTTAATAACTTCTGCTTTTAAACTGTATTTGTGCAAGTACTGAGGCTGCCTTACAAAGGCAGCAACCTTCTTCCTTCTGACTTTATTCTTTGTGAGACTTCTCAAGTCTTTTTCACTCGTTTGTGTGGCTTCCCCAGCAGGTGAGAATTAACATATCCATCCCCCAAAACAGCTTTGTCACGCATCTTCTATACCCTCTTGGAGCATCGGGGTTCCTGAACTTCAGGTGTGGGCTGTGAAATGGTACTATTTTCCTGTGAGGGATGCTGTACACATCCAACAACACACAGGGTGTGTGGCTGCATATGTATGTGCAGGAAGTCATACCCAAATAAACCCAGGGTAATATATTCTAGCTCTAAGACAAAGCTGACTTTGATCCTGCATATTTAGGGGTTACGGATTTTTCTGTTCAAAGGCTTTTCCATTAAATTTCCTGGTTTTAACAACCATATATTCCTATGAAGGTCCTAAAGGGAAGCCAAAAATTTAGGAGTCTACAGAGACTCTTATGTGTCAGGGGATTGGATGACTGAGGTTGTGGGTAGTAAGGAAGAAGAAATGTGTTCTTTCTTCTCCTTTGGCTGTGGATGCACTGCTTGTCTGGCATGTTTGGGCAGCCAATCTAGTTTCCTAGGACAGACCCTGGACTCTGTCCTTAATTGGCTGTGATAGAGCTAGAATCAGCTCTGGCATGAAAACAGGCCCTGGAACAAGCAGAAGGGATATCTGTGGTTCCCTGTTGGAAACAGAAGACCTCAAGGGCTTCCGACAAAGGGGCAAGGCAAAGGGTGGCCACAGGAGCTGCTATAAACTGTACTGACATCTACATGAGCCCTCCCTGGCTGTGGAAGGTGGAAATGAGCTTGGAGGCTCCCTCTGACCACCAGGCTCTATTCCCCTAAGGGCTCAGTAACCCCACCAGAGCTGCGCACCAAACACGGGGGACAAACACGGCTTGTGCTAGAACACCTGACAGGAAAGTTGTCACCCTGTGTGAGTAGCAATCATCAGATTTCAGTGTTTATAGCTCCCCAAAGAGGACATTTGCTGTGTCTGAAAGTGGGGGATGACAGTGTTGCTTGGACCTTGTGCTATCTTAAGAAAACACAGACTGCATCAGGGAATGATTTTGTCCCATGGAAAGCTCTGGTGTGAGAGCAGGTTTTTGCTTTAGGCAGCCCTTCAGCTGTGCTGCTTGCTGCCAGGTCTTGCCCTGCCCACAGCCTCAGACAGACCCCACTGAGGCAGAGGAGGCTGCACAGCCTGTCTTGCCCAGGAGATGGGCAGCAGCTGCTGGGGAAGAGGAATGGACAGAGGCAGTGGCCTGTGGTTATATACTTTCTTCCGTGTAGGTGACAGAGCACTACCCGCTGCCTCCAGTTTTCTCTCTGGAGGAGCTACTGGGCTCAGATGCCCTTTCCTCCCTCTCCCTGTAGCACAGGGACCCTTCTGGGGGCTGCCTTGACTCTCATGTTTGCTGCACAGTGTGTGTGAGCCCATCAGCTGTGCCCTCCTGCCAGGGCTCTCCCGCAGTCCTGTCCTTGCACTGTCCCTCTGCTGTGACCCTCTGCCTGCAGACCCCTCATGCACCTCGTGGCTGACAATCCTTCATGGAGGCTTTGAAGAGAGGTAAAATCCCTCTCATCCTTGAGTGCTGTGTGTACTGGCAAGGGAAAAGGTGGAGGTCGTGTCAGGACCTTGGCATCACGAGGAGTGGCAATGAAATTTTGGGAAGAATGGGGGAGTCTGAACTGCCCTTCCCCTTTCACAGTAACAAGGGGAAGGGAGGGCATGGTGTCAGCAACCATGGGAGTCCCAAGTCTTGCGGGTACAGCCTATGACACCTCTGTGCTTTCCTTGCTTGCCAGGGCAGACCTAGGCTTGGCTGCATCATCCAGCTCCTGCTGCTGCCAGATGAGCTCCTTTTGCCTTTTGATGTTGCCTACCTGTCCCACCTGTCAGCTGGGCAAAATCAGCTTTCTGGGTGTTTTGCTGCTCTCCCCTGGTCAATCCCAGGAGGAGAATTCATTTTCAAGTCCTGCATGAGGCTCCCTCAGGTCTGTCTTGCAGTGAGGAAATCCCACCACCCCAATCCTTGTGCAGAGCAGCCTCCATCTCAGAGAGGCCACAGAAACTGGCCAAGTGCAGGTGAAATCTCTGGACCCTGAATGGTCCACAGGGAATTGCTGCCACAGCTGGCCAACCAGGGTTTGCCACACAGTGACCAGATCTCCCCTGTGGCCCCAGCTCTCTGTGGGACAGCACAGATATCTGAAATACCAGAACTCTTTGTCAAGGTGCTTTTTTTATCAGGCTGGATATTTACTACTCAAGAGTGGAAGAGGGAATCTGATATTCTGAGCCTGTGGGTCTTCCAAAGAGAAATAAACAAGGAAAACTGGGCAAGTGTGTTGTCCCAAGACAAAAAAACCCACAGAAAATATAAACCTAGTACAAAGCCAGTGCTCTGGTAGGAAGAGTTTTTTTGTATGTGTGAGTTGGGTTTGGGCTATCTTGTCTTTCCATCCTCTTGCCCTGGTTCTGCTGAGAGTCTGCGCATCTGAATTCCTACCGATTTTACTGTATGAGACAAGAGCTGCCTGGAGGCGAATTTGTCTCACATCACCTCTCTGCCTCACTCCTTCGTGTCGTGGCTTTCTCCATGTCTGCTTTCTGGCATGTCTCCACTCCGTGTTGTTCCCTTCCAGATGTGGATGCCTTCAGTTCAATCGCTGAGAGTGAGGATGCGCTCCTCAAGCACTTGTTCGAGGGCTACCAGAAATGGGTCCGTCCTGTGCAAAACTCCAACGACACCATCAAAGTCTTCTTCGGATTAAAGATATCGCAGCTTGTGGATGTGGTGAGTGTCATGTCAGGCTTGGTAAAACAATCCTTCTTTTATAGAGAGCCGTGCATCCACCTGGGAGGGCTGGTGGTGCCGTTGGCTTTTGCCTGCTCACGAATGAAACACACAGTGATGGTTGGGCAGCAAAACACCGAGTGTGATATGGTGCTGTGACCTTCTGCCCCACACACAGCATGGGCTGTAGGACTCATTTGTTTAGAAGGAAACCTGAAGGTCCTTTCTTCCCTCCTCTTCCCAGGAAATAAAACCTAGTGTCCATCAGGTTTTAATCAAACAACCCATGGCAGACCGTCCCTGGCATCTGTGTTTGCAGTTTAATGACAAGGCAGCTACAGGGTGGGTGAGAAAGGGTAGAGCTGGTTGGACATTATTCACTCTGAGCAAAGTTGTCTCCAGGCCAAAGGCAGTTCTTGTCTTAACCCATCTGGTTACCCAGATAAAACTCTAGAGGCAAAACAGACAATCCCATGGTTTAGCCCAAGGAAATTTTCCCTTCCCTTTACACTGCAATGCACAGGGGAATTTGCACAAGGCCCAGAGGTACCCACACAACAGTGTGCTCCTTACATCCCTCAGCCCCTGGCAGTGTCCTCTTCTGCTGTGGAAGGCAAACTCTAATTTTGTACTTTATTTACATATTCAGGACAATGTTTCAGCTTGTATCTTCCCAAACTCCCTCTAGGCTGAGCAGTGTGGGGAGCTGAGCTACCCTGTGAGCCCACAACTTTGTGTATGTGACCTGATACCCACCCTGCTGCCTCCCTGGTCTTGGGCTTGCAATTCCTTTGAGCTCCTGTGAAATGCCAGACCTCTATTTTCTGGCTGGAGGAGCTCCCGGTGAGAGCAGGGACAAAACCCAGAAAGTCAGTTCATTTCCCCCAAGAGTGACTGAAGAGCCCAGTCTCATGGGGAAACAGGACCACAGGGATCTCCTCCTCTCAGCACAGGGTTAGACTCGGCAGGCTAGGTCTGCTTCCACTGTCTGTTTCCATGTTGCAAACCTCTCTACCTTGTGTCACCCTAGGATGAGAAGAATCAGCTGATGACAACCAACGTGTGGCTGAAACAGGTAAGTCGAAGAACATCAGATCTCCCTTTTCCCCATGTGGGGCTACTGAGCTGAGTGGCCATCCCAGTCTGCTGCTCACTGTGTCATCCATCCCATTTCATGGTGCTGAGTAGCCAGACAAAGGCTGCATCATGTTACCTTGCCTGAAATTTTTATGGCACACTTCTCACATCAGAAAATGCTTAAAGAGACAGAAAGGCGGGCAGGTGGGCCTTTAGGACATAAGGCAACCTCTTTTCCTGACCTGCTCTCCAGCTCTGTGCTCAAGCCAGCTGTATTTCAGGGAAGTAACACACCTCATACTGCAGTGGCTATCCCTGGGATGCTGTGTGTGCCCTGAGGGACTATCCTGTCTCAGCCTTAGAGGTCACACAAGCACTGTCTCCCTTGCCTGATCTAATTGTTCTGCCTCAGATTTCTTCTTCATTCTTCGGTAGATGTAAAGAGAAAGAAAAGACCAGCATATCACACACACACCCATACACCCTTCCCCAATAAAAGCTGTAGCAGATTAATCATATCTCTCTAACATAGTTGCTTCTGGAAGTGACAGTGATTTATACAAATGCAGGAAAGATGCAAGTTGAACTGTTAGGTCTCCTTTTGTCTTCAGTCCTGAAAAACACTTCTTTTGGTTTAGGTTACATTGCACCAGCTTATTGACCTTGTGACAATTATTTTAAGTCTCTCAGCCATGTGAGTGCCTACAAACATGTCAACTGATCCCAGGACATAAAAAACGAGCTGCACTTGAAATCATGCCACTGGAAAAGGTGCCTGCGGGTCGCTGGGCTGGTGCAGGAGAAATGTGGCTCAAATTTTGTCTCAGTTTTGGTCCTCTAGTGCTACAGTTAAGTGTGAGCTTCCAGGTGGAACAAGACCCCTGAAAACTGTATGGATATTGTGTACAAAGATGGTCTCTCCCTTCAAGAGGGAAAAGCTCAGACCTCCCCTCTCTACAGGAAAGACAGGAGTTTCTCCTTTTGCTGGAGAAATTTGCCTCTGATCCAAATCCAGGTGCTGAGAGCGTGCCCTAAAATATCTGTGGTATTAGATTTCCCCCACTTTCAGCTGCAATTGCAGAGCCCCTTTTGTGCACAGGGCCAGGTCTTGACTTCCTTACTCTGAGTATCCACCTGGGGAGACAGAAGAGCCCTTCTATAAAGGTCACCCCTCTGCCCTCTTCTGTCCTGTCCCCATTCCCACCTACTCTCCTTGCAGGCTGCAGCACCCACCTTCCCCTGCAGATCCAAGCCCTGCAGTCTGCAGCTGTGAAATCAACCCACTTCACCCTCCTCATTCTCTCTGTTCCTGCACGTGTCCCCAGAAAGGTTTTACAGCCTTCTGCAGCTTCTGATAGAATATTCCCCGGTTTGATTTTCTCCTTCTTCTTAGGGAAGAGTTGGTTCCTTGCTCAATATAGGACAGTATCTCATGTGTCCTGGGGCAGCCTCATACCTCTGGCTGGGTGACATCTTTGCCTGCATTACAGTGGCTGCAGAGGAGGAGGACCTTTACCCCCATCAGGAGGCCAAATGCAAGTCCAAACTGTCCAAGGGCATTAAGTCTGAGGTGCTGATACAGACAGACATCTGCTGATTCTCTCTTCATTGCTGCTTAAACCTGTGTGGTAACATTTTGGGTTAACCCTGCCGTGCTGAGCACCCTGTTTGTATTGCAGCAGTGACCTCCCAGAGTCACGGCCTGGAGCTTGGGTCACCTCTCTTACTGTGACAAACCAGGTTCTGCTGGAGGTTACTCCAAACATTCTTGAATGTCTCCAGTGAGGGAGACTCCACAACCTCTCTGGGCAACCTGTTCCAGTGCTCAGTCACCTGCACAGTAAAGAAGTTCTTCCTCATGTTCGGGTGGAACTTCCTGTACATCACTTTCTGCCTGTTGCCTCTTGTCCTATTGGTTAGTACTGAAAGAGCCTGTATCCATCCTCTCCACACCCTCCCTTCAGTTACTTATGTAATTGATGAGTTTCCCCCTCACCTCTTCTCAAGGCTGAACAGGGCCAACAACCTCAGCCTTTCCTCTTTAGAGATGCTCCAGTCCCTTGATCATCTCTGTTGCCCTCTTCTGGACTCAGTTCAGGAGCTCCATCTCTCTCTTGTCCTGAGGAGCCCAGAACTGGACACAGCTCTGGATGTGCCTCACCACGGCTGGTAGAAGGGCAGGATCACATCCCTCGACCTGCTGGCAATGTTCTTCCTGCTGCACCCCAGGATCCCATTGGCCTTCTTGGCCACACGGGCACACTGCCGGCTCATGGACAGCTCGTTGTCCCTCAGGACCCCCAGGTCCTTCTCCACAGAGCTGCTTTCCAGCAGGTTGGCCCCCAGCCTGTGCTGGTGCCTGGGGGTTGTTCCTCCCCAGCTGCAGGACCCTGCATTTGCCTTTGTTGAATTTCTGAAGGTTCTTCTCTGCCCAACTCTCCAACCTGTCAAAGTCCTTCTGAAGGGCTGCACAGCCCTTGGGGGTGCTGGCCACTCCTCCCAGCTTTGTGTCATCAGTGAGTTTGCTGAGGAGGCCTGAGGAGGCCCTTCATCCAAATCACTGATGAACAAGTTAAACAATTCTGGGACCAGTATTGAAACTTGGGGGACACCACTAGTGACAGACCTTCAACTAGACCCTGTGCCACTGATCATGGCACTCTGGGATCTGCATTCAGCCATTCCTCAATCCACCTCACTGTCCTCTCATCCTGTTCACATTTCCTGAGTTTGCCTATGAGGATGTCATGAGAGACCGTATGAAAAGCCTTGCTGAAGTCAAGGTAGACAACACCCATTGCTTTCCCCTCATCCATTCAGGTAGTTGTTTCATCATAGAAGGCAATATAGTTGGTCAAGCATGATTTAGAGAATCCATGCTGACTGCTCTTGCTTATCTTCATCACTTCTCTGCAAGAGTCTGACTTTTCCTGGGTGAGCACAAACTGAAATCCAAAGATTTTCATTTTTTGGTTAAACTAAAATATCCTTATGCTCAAGACGGTTGGACTTGACGAGCATGCAGGCAGAAACACACAAGGTGCAGAGAAGCTTTTAGTGGTTGCTAAGAAAACATCTGGATTCAGGCAAACTACGGAGTAAACTAAGGGTCGAGAATCTGGGCCCAGTGTTCCTTGGTCCACTTGCTGTGGGTTAAGCTCTTGAGAGACAAGCACAGAGACAGGAATTTGGTAGAACTGGAGGAAGGAGAGAGCAATTAGAAGGCCGGGAGCAGCTTGGAAGAAAGGGAGAAGAGAGGAAAAGGCCTGCTGCTACAGTTCGTGTCGGCATAGCCCAAAGGGAGATTCCTATTTTTTCTAAACTGCTCAACTTCAAAGTCTGCACACATCCTATTTTCTGCTCTAGTAAGAAGACATACAACCATTTGCCTTGCAGACATTAAAGAGTACTTTAGCTGGGAGAGAAATCAATGCAGGGCGGGGGGAAGTGAGGAGTGTTGCAGATGCAGCAAATAACCCAGGCCAAGGGGCTGCTCCAGTTCAGCTCCAGAGGGATGGTTACACCTCCAGGTGGGTCACAGGGTGTTTGCTGCTCTTGTGTTAATGCAGGCTACAAGCTGACTGTGTTGGCTGCTGCTATCAGCCCTGACTACCCCCTTGAATGATGAATGTTTCCAGCCTAAGCCTTGTTGCACCCATTACAGGAAGCGTCCAGGACATACATGAGTCTGTGACCACTGACAGCCCAGGCTGCTGTAAACGTTTGTTAGATACCCATCCTCAGAAAGCACACATGAAACGTGGTGTTCTCTGCCCCTGATGCTGAGGCTGAGAGCAGCAATGACCCCTCTTTCCACACCTGAACAGCTCCCATCCCTTCTTCAGCAGCAGGAGGGGCAAGGGGTGGAAAGCCATGCCCGATACCTGACACCAGTCATTTGGGCACTTCAGAGAATAGGTGCATATCTCTTCTGGTGCATTAACTCTGCCATTAACTCTGCCATGGTGTCACCTTGAGCAACTGCCTCCTTTGTGCCAAAAATTACGAGGGGTCTACCAACTACCTACTCATGACCTCGGGCCATATCCCTTCCCTACCCCTAGAGGAGCAAGATATTTACTCTCCCTGTCTCTGTTTAGGTCTCTGTTGAGGCTCTGGGTTGCTGTCACACTGCAAAGAGTTGCAATAACAGGGGTCTGTAGGTATAGCTGTGAAAAACCTGTGGAATCAAAGAAGTAAGAGGGGAATAATACAGTGGAAGAAGAATCAGAGAATACAGCTTTTTTGGTTCTTCCTTAAGTCATGGAGGAAATTGTGCAGGGAAGGCTGAGGCCCCCACATCCCTGGAGATTCCTTAATGCTGGAGCCTAATGGAAACTGGTGCATCTTCTGCTCCTTGGCATTTACCGCAGTCTACGGGGTCTTGTGTCACATCACTGCTATTTCTGTGGGCAAGTGAAAATCCTCATGTATAATGAACAGAGATCAGAGATCTAATTTTCCATCGCATTTCTGTGGTAATCTCCAGATTGCTGGAGCCACTTTGTTATTATCTCCCCATCTTAAAAACCTGCAATAGTGAATGGGCCTTTCTGGTGAAAGAACAATGATCTTCTTGCAAGGACAATGGAAACAGATATTAGGTCCTGTGTTTCATTCACTGAAAAAGGCCATGTCTCCACTGAAAAGTGAAAAGAAGGCCACCTCTTTTACACTTGAGTAGTAGTAACCATGCCACCTGGCTCTTCTGTGGGGTCAGTGCCAGCCAAAACCACCATGGGCTGGTTCTCAGAGGGAAAGAGAGGTGCCACATTGAAGGGAAGTAGCTCCTTCCTTTTGACTATCCTCAGGTGGGCTGTGCAGGGTGGCAGGAGAAGTGAGAGTCATGTGCTCTCTGGGAGTGCCTACCTTGAGGTTGCCTGCATTGGGATGGGTTTTTGGGTCCCCGCTGTGTATCGAGGGGCAGTGCTTGTGGGAATTAATGAGGCTGCTGCATATGAGTGGGCAGAGGACTCTGCTGTTTTGTTACAGGAATGGATGGACCACAAGCTCTCCTGGAATCCGGAGGAATACGGTGGGATCACCGCTATCCGTGTCCCCTCTGAGTCTCTGTGGCTTCCTGACATTGTTTTGTTTGAAAAGTGAGTAATCATGGCTCCTTGCTCTGGGCTTAGGCCAGAGCTTGGGCAAGGCGTGTCAGCTACCATGAAGCTTGGGTGTGCTGACACAAGGCTGCTTCTTTAGGCAGTAGGAATGTTGGCTTCCCTTGTGCTCTGGGTGAGGGATAAAAAGCAGAGCTCAGAGATGGTAGGACTGGGCCAAACACAGTCCTGATCTTGATAATGTTTCTTGCTTTCCAACTCCCAGTGCTGACGGACGTTTTGAAGGATCCCTGATGACCAAAGCAGTAGTGAAGTACAATGGAGTGGTGACCTGGACACCACCGGCCAGCTACAAGAGCTCCTGCACGATGGACGTGACCTTCTTCCCCTTCGACAGGCAGAACTGCTCCATGAAGTTTGGGTCGTGGACATACGATGGCAATATGGTGGACTTGATTTTAGTGGATGAAAATGTAGATAGGACAGACTTCTTTGATAATGGGGAGTGGGAAATCTTAAATGCCAAAGGTATGAAAGGCAACAGGAAGGATGGGCTGTACTCTTACCCGTTTGTTACTTACTCCTTCGTGTTGAGACGCCTTCCCCTGTTCTATACCCTTTTCTTAATAATACCTTGCCTGGGGCTGTCTTTTCTAACTGTCCTGGTGTTTTACCTACCTTCAGATGAGGGGGAAAAACTTTCACTGTCTACATCAGTTCTAGTCTCCCTCACTGTTTTCCTTTTAGTGATTGAGGAAATAATCCCTTCTTCTTCCAAAGTCATCCCCCTGATCGGCGAGTATCTGCTCTTCATCATGATTTTTGTGACCCTCTCTATCATCGTGACCGTGTTTGTCATCAACGTCCACCACCGATCCTCGGCAACTTACCATCCCATGGCTCCCTGGGTTAAAAGGCTCTTCCTCCAGAAGCTGCCTCGGCTGCTCTGCATGAAGGGCCACGTAGATCGCTACTCCTTCTCAGAAACCGAAGAAAAGGGAACCGCCTCGAAGTCAAAGTTCCTGGGGAAGCAGAAATACAAGCAAGCAAAAGACAGAGAAAAAGTTGTTATCGCCTTTCTGGAAAAGGCAGCCGACTCCATTCGGTACATTTCCAGGCACGTTAAAAAGGAGCATTTCATCAGGCAGGTAGGTGAAGGGCCAGGAGAGATCACAGTACCCTTGATAGCTGTAGCTTGCAAGCTCTTTCCTTTTCTGCATGCTTTTGCCTTTGCCTCTCCTTCCTGCTCACACCTGAGACACGTTCCGCCTTGGACCCTGATAAATAGTGAGGGTTTTGGGACAACACATTGCTTCAAGGAGAAGTGTACTGTGATGTGAGAGTCCCAGCTCTTCACAGATGCAAGAGGCCACAGCAGTGTCTCCTCGAGGAATTCCTGGTTTGGGATTATTTTAATGACCTTGTCCTGTGTGAGTTTGGGACACACATGAATCTGGAAGCCTCTGAACGGCCATGTGCTCTGGCAATGTAACTTCCCAAAACCCTAGAGGCAGGCTCCACGGCAGCTGTTAGGTGTCAGTCCTGGCCTCCCAGCACATGCTATACATAGTGTACCTGCCCTGCTTTGAGTGGTTCTTGTAGATTTTCACTGACATCTCTTTAGCTTAGCCCCCAGATACCATGTTTCTCCTCCTGGTGATCCACCCGGCTTTTAAAATGGCAAATTACCGTGAGCATAAACAAGGGTAGGACAGCAGAGCAAGGCAGCCAGCAGTATATGGGAAGGGACAAACTTCTGTTAGCACCCCCCTAGGAAGAACTAGGACTTTCTTCAAACTGTGATGAGAGAACTTCAGCAGAAAGAAGAACAGTAAATCAAAACTGTAATATGTGAGCATTTAGTGTCCATGCCTGAAACCTTCTGTTTGAAGCTGAAATATTTTTTAATGAAAAGGTGCCTTGAATTGGTTTAATAAATAACACTGTTGTGTGTACAGGGTTGTGCCAGCACTCACAATTCAAAATTTCCCTCCTGAATGTACTCAATCTGAGTCAATGAATCACTCAAGCAAACAGAAGCCAGTCAAACCACTTGTACTCCAAGCAGTGCCTGTGTCCAAGTGCTGTGCCAGAGTCTCGTCCTGGCACTTCAAGGGAAATACACTGCAGCGAAAAGAAACCCAGTCTGCTATAAAGCCATCTCCAAGCTTTAAGTCTGTAAACTTTCACAAATGCACTTAGCTAAAAGCTTTTACACAGGCTGAAAAAGTCTGACTACCATGTGTGTAGAACTATGGAATTGTTTTGGAGTTTTGGGTGATTTGCAGACACAAGTGCTGAAAAGGTGATCCATGTCAGTTTTAAGACAGAGCATACTACAATCTTCTAACTTTAAAAACAGATATGGGGAGCTGAAATATGTGTAGCAGTATCAACAAAGAACTAGCCTTGTTATGCTTATGCTTGTCTTTCCCTCTGTCCTTCTCAGGTTGTACAAGACTGGAAGTTTGTAGCTCAAGTCCTGGACCGGATTTTCCTGTGGTTATTCCTGGTGGTGTCAGTGACGGGTTCAGTTCTCATCTTCACCCCTGCGTTACGGATATGGCTAAACAATGCTTTATAGAAAATACTCCCACAGTAGCACACAATAAGTACAAAGCCAAGGGATGGTGGTGCCTTCGAGCTTAGTCTGTGTTGTACAGGAGGGAAAGCAACAGCAAGAATGAGGGAAGGTGATATTTGACTGTGAGCATTGGCTAGTGCTTTCAATCTTCATATGATTCTACCAGTTACAGATTTTGCTGAAATCAGAGGAGGGTTTGGTGCACAGCCAGGTCTTAAAGTGAACTGGGATTGCACAACTAGGTTATAATTTTTTTGTTGGTAGCTTGATTATATTACACACAGTGATCTTACTTGAAAGGAAGATCTGCCAGTTAAAAAGCTTCATTATAACAGAAGTTACAGTAGGAACACAACTCTGTACTCCGTTATCTATGTTTCCAATAGAACCCACAAAGTCTCTACAGTTTCCTTCCTTCCTTCATGCATATGTCAGAACTGATATAATTGCATAGCACGTGCATCAGAAAAAGCGCAAATACTTTTTAGAAGGGATGTTCAAAACCTTGGCTCTCTGGTCTCACCTTGCTGCAGGATCAGCTCAACAGTGGCACAACGTCCATTCTTCCCAGCCCTTGTGTCATGCATCTCACCTCAGCCATCAGGAAGCTACCAGGTGTTACCCACTGTTCCCTATTATTTGCAATTTTGCTTGCTGCTCATCCAGAAGGCTGAATGAGCGGGGATTTCCCCCATGTTCCACACTTAGAAACTTCTTTCACCTGCTAGTTCACAAGACAAGTGGAAGATCACCTGAAGCGTATTGCTTGGAGGAACAGTGATGTTCCTGAACAGTTCAGTTGGGGGGACGCTGCAAACATAATTTTTGGCAAATGAAACCTGTGGTTGCTGCAGGAATGGAGTTTCTCCTGAGTGCTGTGGGGTGGGCTGATTACCAGGAGGATACATCTTTGGATGTTGGCTTCTTCATGTTTCCCAGGCAATTCAGATTTCTATTCTTTTGATTCATTTATATGGGATCCTCCTGCATGATTAGAAACAGCTCTTAATTGTAAGTGAGATGTGACAGAAAACACACAAGTGAAACTCTTGAGCACACAGATGAAGCTCTCACCACCTTTGCTAGGGCAGTGTTTTCCCACACAGAGTGCTTTAGAAAATCCCATTCAGAACTTGTAAATGTTTTCAAGGCTAGCAAGGGATTGGAGCTCCAATTTTTGACTATCTAAATGTATGTAAAACCCAGGGGTGCAGGTTGGAAAGTGCTAAAAATACATAGAGGTATTCTTGTGCTTGGATTTTGCATGCACGCCAGACCTCTGTAAATTAACATAATCTTATCTCATTGTGTCAATGCAGAAAATGCTGTTCACTTGTGCAATTATTATTAATAAAGAACTATTTAGTAAATGATTCCTGGGGTGAGAGTGCTTATGCACTGGGCTTTGTTGTTTATTTATTGTCAGCAAGGCTAGATTGTAGTCCATTTAAAAAACCTGGTCTCAAATCTATTCAAAGGTGTCACATTCTTGTAACGTCCTCATAAAATTTTAGCTCTTTATGTGAGTCTGAGCAAGGAGTATTCAGATCTGGTCATTATGTGAAAGAACCTAGAACAAACCCATTTAGTTTAGCATACGTAGATAGATGTCTTAACATAAGACACTGGTATAAAATTTATGCACATTGACTTTTCTACCAGCTGCTCCTCTCTCTCTTCTTGCATAAGTTGCATTTGTTCCCCTGGCCTGTGAAATATCTAAAGGAAAACAGCCAGGAAGCTCTTCTTTCCAGTATTTACAGATTCTTGAATTGAAGCAGTGATAGGTATTCTCTCTGAGCACTGCTGCCAGGAGGCTGTCAGCTGTGACAGATGACAACCTCCCCTCCTGCACAAGTGCTTCAGGTGCTTATCTGACAGATATGTCTGATTTTAGGCTGCTTTTCCTGGCTTCTGCTGGTAAAGGTCAGCATGTTCAGGTAACTGGAGTGGGAGGTGTGTGAACATTGCACATTTATGGCTTCCAGTCCATTTCATGTGGGACTGCTACATCTGTAATCTCACTACTCAGTCCCCTGAGCTTACTCTTCTCTAAATCTCCTTGCTGCTGGCCCACAAAAACATTCAGAGTGTTCCACACTGCGAAAACACAGCTAGGGGGACATTCGGGCAGAGGGCCCTCCGCCCATGTGCTCTGCCGGTAGATGGCAACATCGCAGGTTACAAATCCTAACAAAAAGAACCAGCCACCCCCTCTGCCTTACTATTGCCTCAACAGACGCTTCCTCCATTTCCGGGCTCTGGTTCACCCATCGACAGCTGGCGTGGCACTACCCCTAGTTTTTATAATAAAAAACTAGTTTTAAAATAACTTTTCTTGCTATTTCAGTTAGAAAGTCCTGCAACAAGAGCTGGGGCAAGCAGAAACGTCATTTTTGTGGGGGTTCTTCCATGTTTGCTCAGAGGGGAGCCCCTGTTGCAGCTTTCTCCAAGGTGATACCCCCATCCCCACTCTCTTTAATCAGCCAAGGACTTTCACAAAGCTGACAGGAGAACAGTCCTGAATGTGCCAAACACGGCTGAGAATGGCAGAAGATGTAACGGGAAACAGTACACTCAGAAAGGGACAGAACATTAGTTTCTTAAGATAACAGGCTGATGAGCACAGAGAGATGAGTAGTTCTGTAAACGACAAAGATGGGGAGCTGGTGCTGGGGCATAAAGGCTTCTTAACTGGAGATGAGGGGCTGTACAACTGTGAATGCTTTGACAAAAAGTCGGGGATTTTGCTGAAGTCAGGTTATTGACCATGGGGTAGTAGCTGTCATGTTAAAGGTACCTGTGCAACACACTTTCCACCATAATATTCTGATCGTTTGGATGGTCATAGAGTGCAACAGTGAATGCTGGCAGTCAGATATCTTCTCCTAGAAAATATCTTTTCTTAGGAATGAAGCTTTCAGGCTCAGATTGCAGCTCTCCTCTTCAAATTTCCTTTCTTTCCCCTCGTGTCCTTTCTAATTAAAGAGCCTGCATAGTAAATGCCATCCAGTAGCATCTATAAATGTGTTAATAGAGGGGAGTTCCAAAAAGACAGATAGTTTAAAAAAACAGACACACAAATTCTTCAAGAAGGTATATCTCAGGAGTGATATTTAATCGACAGCCTGACAAAATAAGCCATGCTTGTTCATACATTTGTTTGTCAGTCACTACATAATTATGCAACATTCTGGAGGATTACAGAAAATATAGTTTTCTTCCAGACAGTTCCACTTCCACTGGAATAAGACAGTTATATTCTTGTCATTCCACCTTTATCTCTGACATATACATTTATTCAATCCTATTCTCTTTATTATGGAGAGTCACAAAAGAGTAAAAGGACAGTCAGAGACTTGAGAAACAGGGATTCATACTTTCCAGGGATTGGTGATATTCAGAGCAGAGATTGATACATGGCAGACACTGAAAACACTGCACTGACACTGCACAGTTAAATTTAGGGGCTCCTGTAAGAAAGAAGAGTTTTGTGCTCTTGAAGTTACTGGGTTTAATTGAAGTGCTGCCTTTTAAAGAAGAGTCCTTTGGCACAAACCCAACAGGAATATAAACGGACAAGGGACCCAAGGGTGAACCATACATATATTATAGAAATCACGTCAGGGTCACATCTGCAAAGTGTTTCAGGATTAAGCACACCAGGATTGGGAACCTGGTTACAAAACAGCAGCCTCAGCCCCAAAGGATGCGTCCCTGCAGTTCCAGGTCTGCACACACAGCACTGACCCATGAGGAACCAGCAAACAGAACATTGCTGCACAGCTGTTCAAACCAAGGTGCTCAGCTTTGCACAGGATTCATGATACCCAGCCTTCTCCTGCTGAGGTGTCTGAGTTGGTCTGCTGTCTTAAACACAGGAAAACTCAGATCAATCTGATTCTGTCAAGCCAGTTCTGTCTGTGATGAGAATGAACCCTTGCATGCTGGGCTTGTGACTGAGCCTAAGCAAGCAAGAGTTTTCAGAGGGGAAACTCCTGTGGAACTAGGACCACTGTTAATCTGATGAGAGAGATGTGGCTTGGAAATCCTACTGAAGCTCATCAGGGTCTTGGTATTCAGTATCAGGAAGCAGAGGGGACTTTGGTCACATGCAAATCTAAGTGGCAAATGAACTAGTTTTTCAAGATTTTAGAATCATATAGTTTTCAAATGTGTATCCCTCACCTGGTTATCACATTCTAATATAAAGTCATTTTGTCTTCCAATATGATTAAGTGCCTAAGACCTGTCTGATTTCAAACACAAATATAAACATGTGCTTTATGGATCTGGGGCTCTCTGTGGCTGGGTGCTGAGGAGGGGATGAGCAGATGGGTTATGTAAGAGGAGAGAAATACAAGGTAGATTAACAAACGAGAAATGAAACAAAACCCAAAGCGGGTAAAAAGCAGTGTATCAAGTCATGTGTCTGCTATTAGTGGCTGGATGAAGAGTCCTGCAGTCCCAAACACACAAATGATTATAAATACCCACAGAAATACTCTGTCTATCACCATAGCTACGTATTTCCAGTCATCTTCCACCTGCAAGAGAATAAAGAAAGAAAAGGATAAACTCTGTATAATGTTACATGCACTTGCTAGTTGAGAGCATGCAGTAGAAATGTCTCCTCTGCTTTTGAATGTGAGGGAGAACATACATGCAAGTCAGGAATGTTGCTTGTTATGCTCACAACTGCTGCAGTTTTCAAGCCTCTTCCAAAGGGATTGATTTTCTAAAAGTGTTTTTTGTCACTTTTGGCTGAGAACATACAACACTGTCCTGGTCTGCTGAATTCTTCTAAATATTCAAATCTGTTTGCAAACTATGGTTGTGATGCTGACGCTAACAAATAGGACCTGGTCCTGTGAGGGGTGCAGAGTGGGGTGATGTAACAGCAGGCACAGCCACAAAAGGTGCACATCACTGGACTCCGTCAGGGGATTTATCCCGACAGCCCACACAGGAGGGTTTGCTATTCTGGTCTGATTTGCTCAACTGTCTCTCCAATCAAGCCCTGCTGATTTCAGAAAACTGGACAACCGGACACGTGGACTACAGCAAGTCCAACACAGCAAACCGCAGTGTCTTGTCCTAAGCAAGACAGAGTGGAATGTGTTTGCCTGAGAGACAGACCTTAGAACCACATTCAGTGAATTTGCTGTCCTTTAAACTGAACCTTTTAACTTGTCCTACATACAAGAACCACTGCATCAGAAGAACATTCACTCATATAAACAAGTGGCTGGCTAAGAGCTCTCTGCTGGGGGATCTTTCACTTGTTTTCCCAGTTTCATTATGTTTTCCCCCAAGATGCTGCTGCTGTGCTTCCTGTGAAAAAAAATACAGCAAGAACTCTAGCTGCTGTAAATGTTGCCACAATTTTTAAAGGACTTTTATTTATATAGGACTAGTGCATGATACCACTCATATTGGTTTGTATGTCTGGCTGAAGCAGAAACATCCTCCAGAATAATTTTCTCCATGTTCACCTGAGAAAAAAAAAAATCCCTTTCTTTTTCCCCCCAAAAGGAGGGTTTTGGTAGATGAAAAATCCTGCTTCCCATCCCTAGTATGTTTTAAGAGGTAAGATGCAGAGCTGTTGATGCACCCACTAGACTAAGAACAGAATTTCACTTAGCAGGAGAGATTTGCAAAATGCAAATAAACAAAACCAGCAAAGGAAGGCTTTTCATGAGCTGTATAATGAAGACAGAATGCTGTTCAGGTGACTTCATGCAAAGTGTCTTTTTTTTTTGAGTGCATCAGAAAAATCAGCGGCTTACAGTACTTGGATATGTTTTATGCACCTGATGTGAGAGTGAAAGCAGGGCTGAAATGTTTGGGTTAAGCAGAACAGTCAGGGTATAGGTACTAAGCAAGGCTCAGCTCAGTTCTCATCCTCCTCTGTGTCAATATATTCCTTAAAAAAGGGGGGGGGAAAGTAATCTTTGGGTTTCATAGAGGTTGCATGAATTTCAACAAAATATTCTGATAGAAAGTATTCATCTCAACGTTTCCCTTACAAAGTTTTTGTGGTTTTCAGTACAAATACAGCAGTATTTAATTTTGAAATCCATTTTACCATCAAAGAGCATCTAAAAAATTTCAAAAGCAAAAGCAAAAACTTCATGAGAGATCAAAAATTTATGTTTCATTAGGTTCTAAACTTTTTTAAAGTATCTTGAAGTGTCAGAGCGTTCCTGATCCTTGTGAGGTCTGGATGTGGGGGAATGTCAGAAAATCTTTCTTGCAGCTGCTTTTAGTTGCTTGATTACACTTGAGGATGTGGCCCAAGAATTCCCTAAATTCCAATGTGCATCATTTTC